AATTTACCAGTAAAATTTTTGTAGAAATTAGCTAAACTATCTTGTAATGCAAATACCTGCTTAATACCCTTGGTCTTCCTCTTGGCCTGTGAAGCCCAAATCACCGGTATTTACCATCTGGTTCTTTACAGAAATGTCTGTGGCCCTTAGTGATCTTTACGTTTCCTTAAAAAACCCAGTTTTTATTTTTTCTTAAGACATCAGTAAAACCAGCTATGGACTGGGCCAATGTGTTGTTCCTGGTGCTTGGCCCTCTTTTGCTACATGTGGATGAGATAGAATCAGATGGGCCCAAAGCAGAGCCTCATTTCCTTGTAACAACTGTCCGTTTTTTACCCTGTAAATTCCAAAAGCAAGAGAGGAGGGCTATAAGCACAGTAGTTCAAGCTCACTGTCTGGGTTAGTAAACCGACCCTCCCTTGGGCCAATCCTTAACCTCTCTGCCTCAGTTTTCCTGTCCGTCCTATGAGAATCGTTAATGTTCACAGCTTCTACCAAGGTGGTTGAGGATTGGACATTTTAACAATAACCTCAAAACAGAAACCTTCTTTGACAGATTGTTTTCCTTTTCCATCATTTACTCTTACATTATTCATAAAATAGTCTAGCCAATGAACAATTAATCACAACTAATTCAATAATGGCTGATGACTTTGATATTTCTAAAATAGACTTCCAAGCATACTGAAAATACTAAATCACCAGTACACTAGAGACAGAGCTCCTACAGCGTCTGTGCTGTTCACTGGAGGTCGGAGGGACAGAGGCCTCCCAGAGACAAATGTGTCCTGAGGACAAGCTTGCACAAAGGGCTCAAATTTCCCTGGGAGAGCCACTGTTGGAATTTCAGCTTTGACCTTCTGGAGAATCCATATTAAAATGCAAATTCGTTACCTAGGAAGGTAATTTTTAACCCATTACTACCTATTTCTCAGCACTTTAGCTCAAATTAGGTTTTTGGTTTTGTTTTTTTTATCAGCTAGCTATCTGGCTGACAGCAGTCTTGAAGAGAAGTGAGGCAGAGTCTCTTAGGTGGGCTCAGGGTAAGTTTTGAATAAAGGTCCTGGGGTGAGGGTGACACACCCCCCACCACGGTCAGCACCAGCATTTGCCGCGCCTGCCGGAGCGCACCTGTCCTCACGCACCCACAAGCCTGCAGGACACCTAATAGTCAAGACTCTAGGGTAGCATTGCCCAATAGAAATAGAATGCACCCCACATTGATAATTTTAAGTGTTTTAGTAGCCACATTAAAAGCTATAAAAAGGAAAAGGTGAAATTAAATTTAATGATATTTTATTTAACTCACTATTATGTCCAAAATACAAACTGGATTGGTCTAAAAATATAAAGACAGGTTACTATCAATCTGTCTGTATTTCTTTAAAAAGTAGAAAAATGACCATAATATCCATATAGGCTATGTTTTAAGAGTGGGTTTAACTAGTTCCTTAAATTGGACCTTACACCTCATGTAAGTCACCTATACAACAAGAAATCCTGAAGAAATCCTGAATATCCTACCTTACGAATGTTTTTGTTTTTAGCCAAAAGTATTATTATATTTAAGTATTCCACAAATAAACTTCTGCAGAAGACTATGCTAAAATACAAGGTAGGGCAAAATTATGTTTACAATTTTTGTATGGAAAACAATATAATAATTAATAAATGATAATATAAAAATAAACTCTGTTTCACATACTCACAGCTGTAAACCTTTTGCCCCACCCTGTACAACTGCCTTAGGGTTAGGGTGAGCTAATGAAAGAAAAGAGGGTTTTTTTCCCTTCCTCATCTTCATTTATTTTTTTCTGTTATTTAAAGTCAGTAGAGAGAACTAACTAAGAAGGCAAAGCTAAAGAAAGTGAATTCAAAGTTTGCCTTGCCCATGTGAACAAATCTTCCCACAATGGCATATTTGAAAGGCCAAATGAGACACTCCTTTATATTGTCCCTCATATAGTGAACACTCACCAGCAAGACGGCAGAAAGAAGGTATCTCTTGGGTGTACAGTCTGGCACTCTACAAGCTTGCTTACCAAGTCATTATCATTCAAAAATATAGTGTGACTATTCTTACCCACAGGAGAATGATAGGAAATCATAACACATGTCAATGCTTGCTATACCTAAGACACCTTTCACTGGGATTGTCTTCAAAATGGAAGATGTAATAAAATTTTTAAGATGCAAAGAAGGGGTGAATAAATATGGGATGCACTTACACATTCAGGCACCAAATGCTGGGAGGCTGTGAACCATGCATGCAGAGCAAAGAAATGTACTGAACCATCAATTTAGTAGGTCATTTTGCATGTAGGCAGCAAAATGGCTGTGTGCATGAAAAACTACTACTATATTTTCAGAGATCCTTTCTAAGAATCCTGAAATATTAATAGCATGGTCTTAATGTAGTTGAAGACAAAAAAATATGTTAAGGGTAGCAAGGTTTGCCCAGAATAGCACAAGGACAAGTTTGTATTTTCAGCTCATGCTTATAAAAGCCAAGAGGAAAATAAAATAAAAATAGTTGGTGTGTTTAAAGAACAGCAGTCTTCAATTTTACTAATAGGTATAAAACTGTATTCTCCAAATTAACTCACATATATATGTTCTTCATAACAGACTAATATGACCTTCAAGAATATGTAGAAAAAATATATATATATATATAAAGTTACAGACTCATTTTTTTCTTAAATTAACATGTGTATACCTAGTTTTTGAACATTTAAAAATTCAAGACATCCTCCAATTTGATTTTTGTGTATGCTGAATTTAATTCTTTACCTGGAGATAGACCTGGGAAGTTGAAGAACTAGCAATGCCTCCGCCATCCCCTTTTTCTTATGAGCTTTTGAATGAGCTGTGTTGTCAATCTTTTGCTCCCATTGTGAGTTTTTAGATTTTGATGCCTGATGAAATGGGGGTGCACAAGGATCCGTCAGAAACAGGGAGAGTTTTCCTTCAACATCCAGATGTGAAAAATTAAAGCCGTGTATACCTTCTTGGCCATCCTAGCATTGAGTGACAGGTTGTCTTTTAAGGGCTGTGACTGAGTGAGTGACAAAGAGGACCCAGTGGGTTTTTTCCTGAGCTCTCGGGTTTGTGGTGTTTGATGTGGGATGGACAAGCCTTACCCTCAGTGCTTCTTCCTGCCGAAGCTGGGGTTTCTGATTTTAATCCAAACCCTGAGGCCATCATAAGCATGACCAAAAAGTACCTTGCATGTTGAACCCTATCTAATTATGTGAAGCGTATAAACTCGAGACACATAAATCTCAGTCATCGGAGCAATTTGTTTTTCTAAGATGCTCCGGTCCAGTGAGAGATGAAAGCAAATAAGGGAGAGATTGATCTCTGAGCGCTTTTATTGTCGGTGCGCCACACATCATAAACTTCGGGCTCGTTAAAGGAAATTCCATAAACAACTTTAGTTAATAGTGGTGAAGGAACTGTGTGCCTTTCTGGAGCTTCTGCTAAACTCCTTTTCCGTCTGTGATTACAAGAGCATGATTAAGGAAATACCAGCAGGATGTGCAAGGGAGAGGAACAGACTTCAACGGGAAGCCTGTGGATGGTTGATGGATGAGTAATGAGACAAGGGAATGTGGCCATATCTGCCCAGAGAATCAAGCAATTCTGTGGATCCCTTTCTCTCCATTCATTTGAATGAAATCTGCTGGCTTGCTGGCATGGTTCATCTCTTTTGGTGGGTCAGGCTGATGGAAAAGTGGCCGAGAGGTTCTTCTCCCAATTGCTATTTTTTTGGTAGTATAGAAACATCCTAAGGACGTGATACATGGACAGAATTGAGAGTGAATCATACTGGAAAGATTGTGGTTAACTGTCACTTTATTTTTTACCTTTGGTCTTATGAAATGACTTTATGTTTAACGGCCTTGTCACAGGGGGTTTAATATTGATGGTGTTGGTCAATTTTTATTTGAGATTGAGACAGGTTTGGGAGGTGATCGTGAAGGGCAGGGGCAGAGAAAAAGGGGGGCGAGCCTCTATTAATTATTTTTTATTGTGAGGTTTCCCAGAATTAGTGGGTTTTTCCACATTAGTAAAGGCAGTCTTCGGTGTCAGTGTGATGATGTTTGTAAAGATGAAGTCATGGAAAGTGTGTCAGGTGCACAAGGAAATGTATGGCCCGTGTTCTCTGCACCAGCCACTTGGGGGGTGTGTGTGGATGGCGGGGGAGGGGGTGTTGAAAACCTGGAAGGGGAGAAACAGGAGGGTTTTATTAATTAGGAAATAAACTATCTGCTGGCTATCTTAAAAAATGTTTAGCATATTTTATTCCAGAACCTACTATCAGTCGTTTCTAGACCTTCCCCCTGAAATTGTGGCTCATGTCTTAACAATTCTTCTTTTATGCTTGGTTATTTTTGTTGGCCTTTTCCTTTGGTCTTCTCTGTAGCTGTAATTAGAAAGTAATCAGCAACCAATTGTTTTGTTAGCATTTGGGTACCCTTCCAACTGGTTGGTTCAAGACCATGCTCTCAGGTTCCATAGCATGTGGCGAAGGGGACAGGCTTTGGGGGCAGACCAGTTGGGGTCAAAGCTGGTCCCTGACATTTGCCAGATGCATGTTAGGTACTGGCAGTTTACTGCTCAAAGCTGGTATTCCTCACTTCTAAGGTAAGGCCAATAATAGTGCCTGTGGAAAAGGGGTGCTGCAAGAACTAAACATCCCGCTTGGAAGTAGGGTCCTGGCGCACAGAAAACACGTGGGAAACTTCACCCATGATTTTATTGATACCATCAGTTTTAAGAAATTTTTTCCTACATGGCTCCTTTGCCTCCTGACCAGAAATGTGAATGTCCTTTAAGGAACGACTATAATCCATGAATGTTTTTGGTTGCTTTACCTGCATCTCCAGCCATTTTTAATTAGCAAAAATGTCTCCCTTCTTCTGAATCAAGGAGGTGATGTTATGCTTTGCTATATTGGCAGCGGTTTATATTGGTTTGTTCCTTCTTTCCTTTAGCCTGCAAAATTGGATATTACAAAGCCCTCTCCACAGATGCCACCTGTGCCAAGTGCCCACCCCACAGCTACTCCGTCTGGGAAGGAGCCACGTCGTGCACCTGTGACCGAGGCTTTTTCAGAGCTGACAACGATGCTGCCTCAATGCCCTGCACCCGTAAGTTGTGTGCTTGTCTCTTGTTTCTGCGATGCCAACTGCTTTCATTAACCACCTAGTGAGGCACCGCCAGGTCTTTTTTCAGGATAACTGTACAGGGGGCAAATTACATCAAACAAGCATCTTTTCTCAGTCATAGCAGGGGAAATGATTACGAAAAGAAAGGATCTTTCTTGCTCTTCTGGTTGCCTTCAAAATGCATAGCTGCCAACAGACTACTTTGGGGAGCAGAGCATTCTGGGCATTCAGGGGTTGCCTGATGGTGTAATGAGAGCTGAGATTGGAATTTATAAATGGCTTTATTGTTTCATCAAGGACTCGGGGAAACTTCACAGTGGTCGGGCAACAGGTATAGGGTGGCGTTCCGAGGATGGGATCACGTGGGGACAAGAGATTTCAGTTCTGTGTGACACTGATGTCATAGCTTGCATTGTTATTACTCTTCTTCCTTCTTTGCTCATAGTTTTGTATTCATAACAGTTATGCTTGGATCCTCACAAATGCTTGTTTAACGCTTGTTTAAATGCTGACTTAATGAATGGATGGGATTGGCACCTTGGTATGCTGGGAGGTAGAGAAACCTTTTCTCACACTTCATACAGTGTTCCTAGTTATTGGCATTCCTTTCACGTACACTCTGGACTTCACAGAGCCTGTAGTGGCAGGGACTGTGACCGGATCAGGGAGTGGTGTGCCCAGGTAATCCACCTGTGTGTTTTCACTAGGTGGGTCTGGGTCTGGAAGGACAGAGCCTAGTAGCCAGGCACTCAGGCTTTCCACGGGCTTTGGCTTTGTTTCCCAGTCTACAATTTAGTAGCTAAGTGACTGATTGTTTAATCTCTTAAGTCTCAGTCTCCTCATCCGTGGAAAGGAGGTGATAGTAAATAGTACCTCCCTCATGGTTGTTGCTACTCAACACCCTCATGTTTTTTACTCACTATGTAAAATGTATAAAATGATAGTAAGTCATATAATTTAGGCTTCAGTGCCATTATGAATTATTTTATTTGTTAACTATAATAAATTATATCTTGGCCAACTAGAGCCAGCATCACTCAACTAAAAGTGCTTTCTGGTTTGGAGGTGGTAGAGTCAGCTGTTCGGCCATTGTCCAACCCAGTCAGGTACGACGTTTTAAAGGTAGGGAGAGCAATTTCAGGCCCATCCCAAATTTGTACTGAGTTGTCATGCTCTGGAGTTTTTTTCATAATCAGAGAAAATAACAGCAGTAACAACAACAACCATCTCTAATTATGACTAAGTAATGCGTTAGGCACTTCCAATAAACCTTATCACAGGGCTCATATTTTAATAAATCTATAAGAGAGGGAGTTATTTTCATCTTATAGAGGAGGTAACTGCCAGCCCAAAAATGTTGAGCATGCCTAAGACACCAGCCCAGTTTGGCGGTAGGGCTGGATAACCAGAAGACTCCCATCTTTCCCTTTTACTGGAGGGCCTTCTTGCCAGCTACCTGAAGTCAAGCTTGTACATCCACAGGGAAGGAATACACTAGGGACAAGGATGTCTTTGTCATCTTCTTGTTCTGTTCCTTCCAGAGACTATGTACTTCTATTGATGACCACATACATTTGACATGTTCAAGTCCTAGACTTTTATTATTTTTCCATCTAAATATTCTTATGTTTCTTTGTGTATGATTAGTTTAATAATGACTCTTGCTCCTCTAGCCTCACCCACTCCCAGTAGCCTTCTAGTTGTGGAATTTGAAGACTTGAGAGCAAACTCAGAGGGAAATATTGTGGGCTGATGGTGTGATAACTGCCCTTCTTTGCATCAAGCGGAGCACCACCTACCTTCCATCTAGCGAAGGCGATGCCTTCTCTAGATTGGTGCTTGGTTGTCCTGAACCTCACAAAATTTATCTTGGATGACAAGATGACCTGGCTCTTTCTGCCAGGTATTTTTAGTCTTATGATAGTGATCTGCTGTCTAACATTGTAGGGGCCCATGGACCAATCATGCACTCGCTGTAGTTTGCTATGTGGAAGTTCAGGGAGACCCCAAAGATTGGCACTTGCCTGAGTTGCTGGGATGTTTTGCCGAAAGTGCAAGTGTGGTAGCTGAGCCCTTGGAGTTTTACGTTTTTGTGGGAATACATTGTTAGTTTTATCTCAAAGATGCAAATGAGAGAAAGTAAATGTTGATTTTTTAGCATATGAGTGAACCAAAAAAGTTTAAAAACTAAAGAAACTGTTGCATATTTCAGAGATTGTTTTCAGTAATGTAGGAGAGGAAGACTGGGGGGTTTTGTGTCATTGATAAAAGGTCCACAAAAACGCCAAAGCAGCATGTGATCCTTTTCTGCTGGTCTATTCCCTTGTACTGCCTCCCGCCACCTTTCCTTAACTCAAACTCCTAGCATTATTGTAATGTTTACAGCTTCTCTCTGAGCCAAGTTAAGAAGAAACACAGTGCTCATCGTACCACCACCCGCTCATGAGTTTGTTTAACCTCTCCAAGCCCCAGTTCACTCATCTGTAAAATGGGATTCTTACTCTTTACCTGTGGGGTGATTTTAAAAATTAAACAAGAAAATATTTGAAATGGTCTGGCACCTGGTAAGGATCTAACGAGCGTTTGTGCTCTTCTTTTATCCGAGCCGGTCACGTCCTCCCCCGAACTTCCTCCACAGCCGATTGCCAATGCATGTCTCTGGCTCTGTGGTGATTTTCTCACTGACTGCACAATTAAATTACGCGGCGGCTGCCCTGCACTCCAGAATCTCCAGCGGGGTGGGGAGGGTGGGCGGGGCAGGACTCAGGACTCCCCCCATCCTTCTACTATACAGACAAGGCTGAAACCACTTCTCCACAGAGTTAAATTTTAAGTTCTTTTTTTTAAACATTAAATTTAATGAGCATTAACTGCATAAGACTCCTAAGACCTCTTCTGAGATAGAGATAAACTGGGAGGTTGACCATATTTTGCTAACAATATGTATACTAGTAAGTTAAGCAGCAGAATTAGAATCTATTCTCTTCTTGATGAATACAGTGGACCCGCTCTGTCCTATACAGTAGCCCCTACACAGCTATTTAAAGTTATTAGCATTTAGTTTAAAATTCAGTGTTTAATTTCTGTTAGCCACACTTCAAGAGCTGAATAGCCATATGCAGCTAATGGTGACCGTACTGGACAGCACTGCTACAGATGATTTCTATCAGCTCAGAACGTTCTATGGAACAGTGAGTGCTGCCACAGACATTTCAATTCAGAAGACAGTGGGGGTTTCTCAGAGAATTTATTGTTCAACCACAGGATGACACCCTCCCCCTCGTCCCACCTCCAGCTTTATCGGAATCTCTTGACAAGATGTGGGGATGGGAAGGAACGTAAACATCAGGGATCCTTTCAAACTGATTCCAGCCTCTAATCAGTTCTTACCAGTTGGTTAAGCCAGGTGACAAATCCAATTCCCTTGTGCTGACAGCCATGGTAATCAGGCACCTTCTTTGTTCATTATGCTGTCTTTAACCCCAGCATTCTCGTGCAGCCCTGCATTTAGTGATCGCTCACGGTGACGGCCCACTAATGAAGAAATAAAACACACTGGCGGAGACTCATCCTCCCAGCCAAAGAGCGACTCTGCTCCACTGGCTCGTAAAGTCAGGTTTTTGTTCCCTTGGAGAACAACTAGACCGGGTGCACACAAGCAGCATTGGCTGGTGTAGAAGGAAACACCTAAAAAGTTCTCCATACTAGCTACATTGCTAAAGAAGTTGAGAGAAATTAATGGTGAATAAACTTTATCTCTGGGAAGACTTCTGATGGAGCCTCTGGTTAGGTTAACATCAGCATGTATCTGTGAGATAGACAACGTTTCAATGGAGGCATCATCGAAATATTTCCAAGAACATAATCCATACTTGTTAGAATAGAGAGTTGGAACAATGCCTCTTAAATGTTAATGTGCATGGAAAGCACCTAGCAATCAGTAGGGAAAGTCAGATCTGACATTCTGCATTTGCAACAACTTCCCAGATGCTGCTGATGCTTCTGGCCTGTGGACCACTTTTCCATAGCAAAGAGTTAGATCCTCCCTGATGGGCAGCAGGAGACAGGAGAGCCTCTCTTCCATGCCTATAAATTTCAGGGATGCTCTTCTGCTCAGTGGTGACTCTACTAAGATGTTTCCAGCATTCTGAACATGCTCCGTTAATGGAAATTGAATACTTCATTTGTCTGCTAGATGAAAAAAATCTGTCTGGTTTGGAGTAGCATAATCCAGTACACTCACTGTGGAGCTTTGTTTGTATTTTCTTCTTTCTGAGTCCCCACTAGGTGGACTGCCAGGGAGTGGAAATGAAAATGGTCATGAGGACCAGTCAAAAAAGGTGATGAGATTTTTGGTGACATTGCTAGCCAAGCAGACAGCCAGGTCTCAATATACACAAGGGTGCCATTTAAGTTAATGAAGGAATTTTGATTACATAAACCAGTTTATCCAAGAAATTTCAATGTGACTTTAATGAATGAAGTTAGTGTCTTTCAATTCTGCAGTTAACCAGCCCCTCCCCTTCAGATCTCCTTCATCTTCCCTTTCTCCTTCACCCTGTCATGGGGAATGTTGTCTGGCAGTCACAGTGTTGGAGAAGTCCACTGCGCGCCTGTGCAGAAGGCCTTTGAAGGCCTTTGTCATTTAGTGGCTTGTTCAGTGATTATAGCGAGAAAGGTCTTCTTTCCCCACAGTGGGACTCTGAACCAATATTGCATTTAAGGTAGCTTTCCAACCTTTCATTGTGTTTCAAAATGTACTAGGAGAAAAAAAAAATGCCTTATAGAAGAAGTAAATTGGTTTTGGATATCTAGAAAGAAATAGCTAATTTGTTATTTTGGCAACTTTACTTCTGAGCACCATTACCACAGTGGTTTTACGTATTTTTCAATTGGAAATCTGTCTTTGTGCTTTTGGGTACTCTTTAGTTAACATGTTTGATGAAACTTATTTGAGCCTTGTGATTGGGAGCACTCTGTAA